TTGACCGACAAGTCTGTCTCCCCTTCAGTACCAGTACCTCACTGCCTTGCTCAGTACAGCTTGCCATTAAGCTTTGAAATCACAGTGACTGGTCCTCCACTGTGTCCTTTTTCAAGATTCTTTTGGCTGCTCTTGAATTTTCTTAGGAATTTAGAATTGGCTTGTTGATTTGCAGAAAGGCAAAGTGGGATTTTGACAGATTGCTTTTGGGGATCAGCCTGGGGAGTGTTGCCATCTCAAGTGCTTCGTAGCTTTAATTCTTTTCAGCAACGCATTATAGTTTAATGTGTATTTCTTTTGTCTTGTATTTGTTTTTGCAATCCTCGTATGTGTTGTTAGGTGTTGCTCACTTATATTTTGTCAAGGACTTTTATGTCCATATTCATAAGGAGTGTTGATTGGTAGTTTCCTTTTTGTTTTTCCTTCTTTTGGGTACCAGGGATTGAACTCAGCAGCACTCAACCACTGAGCCCCATCCCCAGCCCTTTTATATTTTACTTAGAGACAGGGCCTTGCTGAGTTGCTTATTAGCACCTTGCTTTTGCTGAGGCTGACTTTGAACTCCTGATCCTCCGGTCTCAGCCTCTCAAGCTGCTGGGATTTTAGGTGTGCACCACAGAACCCGGCTCTGTTTCCTTTTGATGACTTTGTCTGATTTTGGTATCAGGGTATTAATGCCTTTATAGAATAAATTGGAAAGTGTTTTATTCTTTGGATGAATTCGTGAAGGATTGCTGGTCTCCTTTAAGTGTCTGATAGGGCTCATTGATGAAGCCATTTATCTCTGGTCTATTTGGGGAAAACTTTGATTACCAATTCAGTCTCATTATAGGTCTAAGATTTCCTACTCTTGAGTTAATTTCAGTAGTTTGTGTCTTTCTAGTTATGTGTCTATTTCACATAGGCTATCTAATTTGTTGGTATATAGTTGTGCATAGTGTTCTTAATCTCTTCTGTGTGGTTGTTAGGCCTCTTTCTCTAAGGCTAGTAGTAACATCCCATATCATTCATCATTTGCTTCTTGGTTTCTGGGGTTAGTCTTGCCAATTTTGTTGATCTTAAAAAAAAAGATCATTTTTTTAAGTTTCATTTTCATTTTCTCTTGTTTTCTGTTCTCTGTTTAATTTACTTCTACCTCAACCTGTATTATTCCTTCCTTATGCTTCTGTGGGTATACTTTGCTTTGAGCAAGTATAAATGTAAAAGAGATATTAATATCAGTAACAATGGTAAATTCTGACATGATGTTATTGTTTTAACCAATATTATCTTTCGTTTTTCAAACCATGGGCTAAACACAAATGATTAATAAAATTATTACAGATTGTGATGAGGGTTTAAGTAGGGCCCGTAATAGATGCTAACACGCTGCTGGGAACAGTTGGGGTGGGGGTGGCTCAGCTGCCTCTGGCCCTGAGAGGAGCAAGGTGGGTCTTTGACCTCAGGGTTTGGAGGCCCTTCCTCCTCTTGTTTTTTTGTAGAGGATTTAACTGATCTAGACTCTTCCCTTTAGAGGGAAAGACCATGGAAGTCAGAGTAAAGACCGTGGCAGCCTAGGTTACTAATGCCTGCCCCCCCCCATGTGATTTCTGTTTCCGCTATTTACAATATTTATTGTTTTCATGAATCATTTTTAGCAATTTATTAAGAGGCAGATTATATCAAGTTGTTGGTTGCAATATTCAGAAAAAAGTTTTCACCGAAAAAAACCCTCCAAGAACTATGGTAGAGAAAGATTTGCCTTTAAAGTGAACATATTTTTTATTGCATCATTTTTTAATAAATTTTATTTATATATTGTAATGCATTACAATTCATATTACATATACAGAACACATTTATTGCATCATTTTTTAAAATTTATTTTTTAGTTGTAGTTGGACACAATACGTGTATTTATTTATTTTTATGTGGTGCTGAGGATCAAACTCAGGGCCTCGCATGTACTAGGCGAGCACTCTACCGCTGAGCCACAACCCCAGCCCTATTGCATCATTTTTTAATAAATGAAATAGGGAAGTAAACAGACTCAACTTCTCTTTTTGAAATGTGTCGTTACACAACTGACACATTGAGAATCTTAGACTCGAGTGGTGTGTGGGAACACGAGAAGCTTAAAGTAGAGCTTGTGACCTGAGCTTCATGAGAATAAATAGCACTGGAATCATAAAAGGCAGAACAATAAGTGTCACTTATTCCTAAGTCCTTCTTTCCCTACTTATCAGAAATATATGCTTTATTTTAAAAATTAGTTTTCTCAAAGGTGTTATTAGTCATGAGGATTAATGTAAAGTTTACTTTGAAAGTAGTAATGGACTTAGAAGTGTGGATTCTGGGATCTCATTGCTGAAATTCATAGTCCATCTGCAGCCACTTTCTTGCTGAATACAACTTCATTCTTCTTTTCTAAAAACCTTACTGTGGTATCTGTAAAGCAGATATCATAGGGCTAGTTTGAAGTTTAGTGAAATAGTGATCAATAATTATTAGTTTTTTTCTTTATTACATCTGGTTGCTGCTCGAACCACAAAACATTGGGAAAGTTTGAGATTCATTAAGCATATAAAATTAGGAAAATATTTTTGGGAGAAGAAACTGCTGTCATTTGTGAATTTGAATCTAGAGAAGTGGGGACTTGCTTTGGTTACTTTGTATATCTTGCAAGTTAGTAACTGTCAACACAGCCAGGCCACTGCATACACTTGTAATCCTAGCAGCTCAGGAGCCTGAGACAGGAGGATCATGAATTCAGAGTCCGCTTAGGCAAATTAGCAAGGCCTTAAGCAATTTAGTTAGACCCTGTCTCTAAGTAAAATATAACAAAGGCTGGGGTTGTGGGTCAGTTGTTGAATGCCCCTGGGTTCAATTCCTAGTGCCAAAAATAAATTAAAAAATTTTAAAATAACTGTCAGCACATGAAATGATTAAGTGCATATATAATGACACCTCTGTCTTTCTAGGTGTATAATTTAAAGTTAAAATAATTGATCATTTAAAGCAAAATATCCTAATTTCTTTCATGCTAGAGTTGAATCCTATTCTGCCTCTTTAAGGAAAGCCGATGAGGTGTAACACTCTTCCTTTTAGAACTTCATAATAGCTGTGCTATTCATTTTCTTCAGCTGATACAATTCTTTTGAAAAGCTCCCAATTAAACGTAACGATATTATTTTCAGTGTTCTTTATCTTATCTTAATTGAGTGAAGTTCTCAGTCAGATCAAGGTTTGGTCTAGTTGGATGGTAGGAACTCCTCTGGTGGTCACTGGATTGAATCTCTAATAATAACAGGAGCACTTCTAGTTCTTATTAGTGTCCTCTGGTCACCAGGTGGGAAGCTTCTGGCTCGCTTGCCTTGTCTCTTACCTTGTGAGCAGCTGGTGCCTTTGATTGGAGAATTGTCTTGGAATCCAAGATCTGGATGGTAGGGATGCTCATTGCTCCTCAGTGTTATTGCTTCTAGTCCTTTTTAGCCAACAGAGCAAGGAAGTTTGTGTGTGTGTGTGTGTGGCACACACACATGTGTGTACGCACACGCACCAAGTCATGTATATACACATCTAGAAATATTCCTATATTTGACAGTCTGTATCTGCCTAAGCATGAGTTCATGCTGATGTCACCAAATCTAATCCATTACCACAGCTTCCTCCCCTTGCTTCTCTGTAAACTCTCATTCCAACCACGGGAAACCTGGCTCCCACTGTTTACCATCTAACTAGTTGTTCAGTTTCAGGGACATTAGAATTGTTACTGTAACCTCCTTGGGAAATAGTCTTATCAGCTAAAGTACAGTGCATATGTACAGTTTCTTCTGTCTGTAGTCTTAAGATTCTTCTCATTTCCATTCTCCCCTTCCTGCTTCAGTGAAGTTGATTCATATATTTGTAATAGGTTAAATCATTTCCTCACACTTTGCATTCCATCCTGGGATCCCCCATCTCATAAATGATGATTTAAAATTTGCATAATTTAGATTGATTCTTTGTGCCTTAGAGTTCTATTTTGACCAATGTGCAGGGTTGTGTATCCCACCCCCCCACCCCCCGCCTTAATTACTTCCTCTGGTTCGTTTACTCAACTTTTTCCTGCTGCTCTGAACGCCCCGCAGCCACTGATCTTTGTAGCAGCTTCACAATTTTGTGTTTTCCAGAATGTCGTCTACCTGGAATCCTGCAGTGTGCAGCCTTTTCTTTTACTAATGCATTGCGCATTGCGTGGCTATTGAAGAGCATCTTGGTAGTGTGTACATTTTGGTGATTATGCACAAGGCTGCTATGAGGAATTCATGCAGATGAAATTATTTATGGACTTAAGGTTTTGAGTCAGTTCTGTAGACAGCAGGAGCATGGTTGCCAGGTTGTGTGGCACAGCTGTGTTGTCTTTTATGTGTCTTGTCTTTCCATTATTCTGTTTCTTGGAATGGAATAATTTGCTTTTGCCATTTTCCTCACCCACCTCCCTATCAAGTTCCTTTTGACTATTAGTCCCAGGTCATGTCATCACTACAGAAGAACAGAGGATACAGAATTTCAGCTGATGGTGGGGGTGTGTGATATAATACTCTAGTGATGTTTTCCAGGTACTTACAATCAGTTCAGGTAATCTGTCAAAGAAAATAACTTGCTACATCTAGTTGGATTTGACCGTTTTGGGCTTTCTCACAGTATAACAGGAATAGATGAAGGGCACTTAAACAGCCAGTAGGTTATTGAAACTCCTTTATTATTATATTTTATTCTAAAGCATTTCAAATTTGCTTAAATTATGAAGTATTATCCTCTTTAACCAGCAAGCTATGGTGTTGTTTTGTTTTGTTGTTTTCAGCTAGGGATTGCGTGCAGAGCCTCATACATGGTAAACATGTGCTGTACCTCTGAGCTATACCCTAGGGCAAGAAGTGTATTTTAAAATGTAAAATCGTAAAAGTTGATTTTAAGGTAAAAGATTCTACTAAAATTGAGTTTTCCTGGCAGTGATGTCTACTTTGCTTCTTTCACAGCGTTCATACCTACGGAGAACATAATAGAAGTGCTGCGCTTTGATGATGGCGGGCTGCTGCAGGTAATGGCTTTTTAAGTTGAATGATTTCAGTGTTAAATCTTGAATAATATTTTTATTATTTTTTTAAATATCCTAATTAAATTTTTCTTTAAAATATCCTAATTAAATTCTAGTTAAAAATACACCAATATTTAAAAATGTAACTGAAATGTATGTTATGAGCTTTATTTGTAGGTAGGTCAATAGTCCAATGATTATAAAACTCCTCAGCTATGTGAATTATCATTTTAGAAATTCATATTTATCTATAAAGCAAACTCATTGCAGTATCAGAGTCTTGTAAATAAGCACATTGCCAGTCTGTGGCAAATGTGTGAGTCTGTGGGTCTGACAGGGTGGAGGTCAAATCAGATTACAAGTTGCTGAGTGTGGCCAGTGAGTGAAACGCTAAATCCAGATGTTGCATCAATGTTTATTGGGAAGAGAGCTTCTTTAGGAGTGTAAGTATTATAGATTTAATCTGTATTATCCTTCCACTTGACATCCTAGCCATATTTAAATATATTACACATAAAATAGGAAGTGTGATCTGGTAATGGCACTGTTGTTCCTGCCACACCTGGCTCCTACACCACCATGAAACCTATTTCAGTCTTCTCCACTACATATCAGATCTAGAATTTCAGAGCTGCAAATGATAGAAGAAGTGTCTTCACTAACCCTCTGATTCTTATGGCTAAGTTTTTTCTCCTTTCTTGCGGACTGTTACCACATATTATGCTTGTCATTGCTTAGTGCCATTGTTGTGGTAACATTGGTTTTTCAAGAACCATGTTGTCTGGTGGCATGACTGATAAAGTTTAATCATTTTATCCTCAGGGGAAGTCAAGGTTCAGATTTAGAAAGTGTCCAGTGTCCTGACTTCATGGAGTGGGACTGGCCTTCTCATTCTAGGTGTGACCTTCTCATGTTACTGCCTATGATGTATTTAAAATTAAATAAATGATTTAAATAGTCTGAAAGGACATTTTCTGTGGTTTATAATAAAGGCAACAAAGTAAAAATTAAAATGGAATTAAGACAGAAGAGAAATAATTCTGTATGGTTAGAATGAGATTTGTGTTATAGAATAAATTTAGATTTAAATATTGCATACTGTGCCAGCGAGTAAGGGGAAAAGAAGTGATAGATCTTTTTCTCTGATGGAGCTAGTAAGTTTTTTGGAAGAGAAACTTTTCTTCTAAATTTTTAAATAAATTTATCATTCATGCCTTTACATAAGAGATGTTGCAAAACATAGCAGGTTATTGTTGCATGGTACTTGCAGAAAGTTTTCTTATAGCTTTTTAAATTTTAAAACCAAATAAAACACACAAGCCAGCAGTTGCACTCTTGGCCATTCTCCCAGGGAAATGAAAATTTGTTTGCACTGAGAGAGTTCTGACTTTTGTAAAGTCTTTCTACTGGAAAATGACCTCAGTCTCTTTTTCTAGTTCTTTAATCTGTTTCAAGGTGAAAACTTGGATAACCTATGGAATGAATATTTAACTAGCTCCTTTTAGGTAGTTGTTTGCAATATTTGGAGTGCAGGCAAATTAGGACAATTTCTGGAAAATTCCATAAGTGTAATTGTTCTTTATTGATTGAGAAAGCATCTACCTACATCCATTGGGATCTAGATATCTAGATAACAAGTTGGTAATCCATTTTGAAAATTTTGGAGCATGATTTGTATTTTTGCCGAGAGAGAATCTGTCCAGATCTAAATGGAAGAGCCTTTGGGCTGGGATGAGATTTGCTCATTCTCTCTGGATCTGGTCAAGTGCTTGGACAAGCACTTGGTTGAGACATCAGAATTCTGTGGCATGGATAATTTTAGTTAGGGCAGATGTTGAGTGTAAGTTGTATCAGCTGGTTACCTGAGCCACAGTAAAACTTAAGACTCCTGCAGAATGTCTAATGTTGAGATGTTTTAAAAGTATATTAAGTATCTCCAAATGGCTAAATAGAGAACTCTTTTGAGTGATGTATATAAATTGTTCATTTCGGTGTTGAAGAGTATTTCCCAGAATCAACAGCTTTGATTTTTGCCGTATTATTTGTTCTGACAACAGTTTGCCAGTAGGTTTGACTATTTCTTAAATAACTCCTGGTTTCTTATGGTGTGGTTAAACAAGAATGTACACCTAGCATTTCTATGGCAGAGTATGTATCAGGCTTCTCAAATTAAATTTAAGCTAAAGCAGGTCAAAGCAACAACCCTGTCTTAGATTATTTAAAATATGCATTTTTCCAAGGCTGCTTCTTCCCAGATCCTGTACTACATGTTAACTTTGTGTGGCTTGGCTCATAGTAATCTTTTTAATCCTCAAATCTTTGTATAAGATGCCAGTAAAAATTGCCAAACTCATGAAAAATGGTCTAGAAAGGTTAGGCTTATTTTCCTTACATTTTAAAGATAAGGAAAACAAGGTTCAGAGAGGTTTACTGTGAATACAGGTGCATAAAATGTGAAGGCATTAGGACAGGCTCACACCCTCAGAAATGTCCCTCACTCTCCCCTAGTTACTTTCGCCAGAGTTAGTCGTGATCTTGATTTCCTGGTGATTTCCTTTCCCTATGGTTACACTGTCTGAGCATGTATGTAGCTTCACCTTTGTTTAGAAGTTCATATTGTTTGTATTGGGGTTTTTGGTTTGGTTTATTTTTTCAGTATTATGCTTCTAAGAGTCTCTTTTCTGTTAACCTGCTGGTTTTAACACTGCAGAATGGTCCTGCAGTATGGCTATTCCCGATTTATGTGTTATTGCAGCTGCTTGTGGACATTTTGGGTTTTTTCCTAGCTTTCTGCCCTTATGAATAGTGCTGTCTTTTAAATTTTTTTCTAAGTGGTACTGGGGATTGATCCTGGCGTCTTGGGCATGCAGAGCTATAGCCCCAGCCCAAATAGTACTGGCTTTTGGTGACTCCATGTTATGTGTTTTTCAGGTTTTATTTCTTGTATATATTAAGTTGTCCCAGCATCCTTTGTTGGACTCCCCACCCCTGCGCCTGCCATATTTCCTTTCCCCATTGATCCTTCATGACTTTTATTCACAAATCAGCTGTCTTGTACATGGGAATCTGTTCTGGGTTCTGTTTTGTATTTTCTGGGTTTACTCATCTCTTGATCACAGTGCAAACTGTTACTATAGTGTTATCTTAGTATCACAAGAGCACGCCTTCTCGTTTGGTCTCTGTTCTTCAGAAATGCCTTGTGGATTCTCAGCCCTCTGCCTCCATGGCTATTTTTAAAATGAACTTTACATATGTGCATTCTACTGAAATTTTTATTAGGATTACACCGAGTATGAGGATTAAAAATTTTATGTGGATAACTGAATATGTACTGTGTAGAACAATAATAATAGTGTCTTGGCAAATACATTATTCTCCTGTGCCAGAACAATTGCACAGGAGAATAACTTCAGGACACAGGGCTAGGCAGGAGTTGTTGACACCAAAGACTTGAGAACACAAGTGCAATCCAGAAAGGAAAGATTGATGAATTAAATATTTGCTTTGCAAAGGACCATTTGAAGAAGATGTAAGGACAAAATAATTGAAAGCCACATACATGACAGAGGACCTTGTTTCTAGAATACATGACACATTTTTCACCAAAAGGGTTTCTTTTTTTTTTAACAGATGGTTAACAAAAAATGTAAAGCTGTTCAACATCATTAGGCATCAGAAAAATGCAAATTCAACCCCACATACACAAAAGAGTGACAGCACTGAGTCCTGGGAAGGCTGGGTCTCTCAGACATTGTTCGTGGGCACGTTAGGTGGTGCTGCCATTCTGGAAAGTTTGACAGGTTCCTACAGAACTCAACATGCAGTTACACACAAGCCAGCAGTTGCACTCTTGGCCATTCTCCCAGGGAAATGAAAATTTGTTTGCATTGAGACTTGTATGTAAATGTTTACCAGAGCTCTATTTATAATGGCCAGAAATTGGAAACAACCTGGATGTGTTTCAGTAGGCGAGTGGTTAAACAAACTGTAAAGCCACACTAATGGAATATTTCTTAGCAATAGAAAGGAACTATTGATAAGCACAAGAACCTGAACAAATCTCTAGAGAATTAGGCCAGGGGAAAAGAGACAATCCCAAAAAGTTGTACACTAATGATTACATTTATATGGTGGTTTGGACTTGGCAAAACTGGCCACATGAATAGCAGAGTAGTGGCCCCGGGACTTGAGGGAGGGGAAGGAGGGAGTTGGGTGTGTCTGTAAAACGGCAGTGTACGCAGCCACTGTGTGCTGCAGTTCTTCTGGATCTTGACTGTGGGGTGTCTACCCAGCTCTGAAAATTCTGTAGAACTAAGTACCAGTTCAAGCACAAATGAGTATAAGCAAAACTAGGGAGATGGACAAGATAGGGGAGTCTGATCCAGATGAGTGCCCTGGATCTGACACTATGCTGGAATTTTGCAGAATGTTATGTTGGGGGTGGGGGTGGCGGAGGTTGAGTTAAATGTGCTTTCCCCCATTCTTTCTTACAACTATGTGTGAATCTACAGTCATCTCAGTTTACATTACAAATACATGCACATGGGCAAGCACGGGAAGCAGAGCAATGAAAAAAGGAAAGACCCCCCGCTCTGTGAGTTAAAAATTCTTGAAACTATCTCACAGATATTTTATCCATTTTCAATAAAATGAGATTATTTATTATGGGAAGGTTGGGTTGATCAGAACCAAGGGCACATTTTGAGGTCCTCAAAAGAGGATCTCATGTTCTACCCTGTCCCAGTGGGGAACGGAATGGGGAAGAAAGGAAGTATGTAACTTTATATGTGACGGTGAAAAAGAAGCATACTCTGATCACCTGCAGGGAAATGTGGCTCCTCCCCTCCAGCATATTCCAAGGGAAAGCTGTGCAGTGTGGGACACTCACATGGTGCCCGGCATGGCCTCCTGGTGCCCCCGGAGTGGGTCAATGCCCTGCCATCAAGAAACTCAAGTTCTAGGGTGTTACAGGCCTTGTCTTATCTGTAAGCATCCAGGGCCTG